GGGAAGGGCGGGCGGAGCGCCAGGGCTGGGCCGGCTGGGGGAAGAGAGTGTGCGCGCTAGGGAGGGGCAAGAATAAGATTGAGAGACTTATCTTCAACTCTTCCTAATCATGTACGAAGTTTCTTAAAGAAAGAACCCCTTGTCAACGTTCAATTGTGTATTATACATCAGCTGCCTAATTACAGAAAACAAAAAAAAAGACAAGCCAAAAATATATGACAAAGGTTTGATGTGCCTGAAGCGCGTGATCCCTGTCTCATGTCGCTTATAGATTTCGACTACCTCCAAGTGGATGCCGGATCCTTCCCACCTTTAGAATATACAGAAATACTACGGCCCTTCTGCCCCCATGCCTTCCCCCCTCTGGCGCTCGTTGCTCAAAAAAGACAAAGAAGAGTCGAGTATCATATCCGGTGACAACTTCTTCAAACCCAGTTGCTCAATGCACATACAAAAGAAGTTCAAAAAATTAATACAGATTTCGGAAGTTGTCTTCTGATACATACACAAACTAATACAGATTTCGGAATTTGTTTTCGGCCAATCATACAGTCAAAGTTAACACACTCGCTGATCCTTTTTACTTTTCCTTTCGAGGAAAGTCGAGGAAAGTAGAGGAAAGTCGTCTTTTTCCGGAAAAGGCAATACCACCGTAGTGCCAAGTCCTGGGAACAACCAAGCATGAAGTTGCGGCGTATCAAATTCCAAGGATACGAACAGGGTCTTCTACCAATGCGCAATGCGCACAAAGATGCTCTAAACAAACACAGGCCACGCGTACGACCAACAACACACCCCTTTCCCCATTATATAGACGTTGAGACGAACCGTGTGTTCACGGGCCCGTCGGCCATACCCCTCCCCGTCTGTCTGAAGTCCATACCCCTCCCCGTCTGTTTGAAGTCCCATTTTTCTCCCTCCTCTCCCTTTCACGTGCGCTCCCTACCTCTCTCTTGGAGCAGGAGCTCAGGGGAAATGAGTTACACCAGCACAGACTTGGGAGAGGCAGAGGCCAAGGTCGCCTTCGCATTCGCTTTCGACTTCCAGCTGGGTGAGAGCAAGGACGCAACCGACTGCTTTGCTGAGCAAGTATCTGCTCAACACACGCAGGACGACGGACAATGCAAAAGGAGAGAAATGGCGACAAGAGCGAGGATCACCATGACGACCAAGAAGTTGAAAAATCCGACCGCAGCAGGAAAGAAGAAGAAGAAGAAGAAGAAGAAGAAGAAGAAGAAGGATGATTATACCCTGTAGCTGCTAATTAGAATACTACAGTGGTGGCGATAGTCCGTTTCGATTGTTGAGATCATTGATCGTCTAGTAAATGGAGGGCGGGGGGGAGAGAGAAAGAGAGAGAGGGAGAGAAAGAGAGGGAGAGAAAAAGAGAGAGAGAGAGAGAGAGAGAGAGAGAGCGCAACAGGCGAGCGATGACGACGAAAAGAGACCATGTGCTGATTGACAATTACTAATCAGCGAGCGAAACAAGCGAGTGACAGCAGGTGTTCTCCTTGGCAGGACCCAGCGAGCATCTCCTGAACAACATGTAAGAGCAGCAAAGGTAGGAGGAGGAGGCGACAGAGGAGGGAGGAGGAAGAGGAGGAGGAGGAGGAGGAGAAAGAAGGGGAAGGGGAGGAGCGGAGCGTTAAACAGTAAAGATGACAACCGTACGAGGTGACTGTATTTTTGAATCCCTTATTTCTGCCAGAAAGTTCGGAAACTCTTTTGGCGATGAATCTTCTTCTGCAACTGAAGGAGACCGTACAACAACGCCTCGGCAGTGGGCGGGCATCCGGGTACATAGATGTCGACAGGCACGATTCGATCACAACCCCTGACGACAGAGTAGGAGTAGTGGTAATACCCTCCTCCATTAGCGCAGCTTCCCATCGAGACGACCCATCTGGGCTCGGGCATCTGATCGTAGACCTTGCGCAGAGCGGGCGCCATCTTGTTAGTCAGCGTGCCAGCCACGATCATCACGTCCGACTGCCGCGGGCTAGGGCGGAAAATGATACCGAATCGATCCAAATCATAGCGCGCCGCTCCCGCATGCATCATCTCTACCGCACAACACGCCAGCCCGAACGTCATCGGCCATATAGATCCCTTCCGCGCCCAGTTCATCAGGGCATCCACCTTGGAAATGACGTAATCAGCCGCCGCGGGCGTCACCGCCGCCGACGTGGGCGCCACCGCCGCCGCCTTGGCGACCGCGCCCGCCGTTTTCTGAAGCATCGCCATGGCGCAAGGCCGAGCGCGAACCGAACCCAACCGAACCGATTTCCGCACTCACGCGCCAACCAAAAGCACTCGCGCTACCGATCAACCGCTCAATCGATCAGTCAATCAACGAGTCAATCAGCGAGTCGATCATCCCGCCAATGCAATTGACCGACAAGGCACAGTTCTTTTCGGCAATTCCCCTGTTGGGTCTGACGTGTACCGGTGGGTGTGTGTGGCCAGGCCAGATAAGCGAGCGAGCGCGCGCGCGCGCGCACGTGCGCCCACAGAAGCGGGTTCCACCTTCTCCTTCGGTCCTTCACCTTCCCCCGCTGCCAGTTTTTCGAGACGTCACCCCCTTTCAACGCTCCACGCTGTCATTCCGCGGGGGCCACTCCGAATTGCTCCCACCTGTTGCGCGCCAGGCGAGGCTGACTTCGGCCTTCCCACATTGGAACGTGTTTCCAGTTCCGCTTCTGGGCGTTTGGCTGGCCACGCTACGGAGCCTGTGCAAGCCAGCGGCGGGAGGGCGGTCTGCTGCGAGCGCGGGGAGCAGCGTGATTAGCACCCAGAGTGAGGGCCAGATCCCACTGGCAAAGAGGATTGGAATAAGTGTCTGAATTAGGACGTGTTCCAGGAAGAGATGCAGACAAGCAGATCAATTACAGGTTTTGCACCTCTCCACCAAGACGTCCAGATTCAGACACTTACTACAATCCTGTTTGTCGGTGGCATCTAGCCCTGATTCGCACTGTCCCTCCTACCACCCTGCGTAACCGCGGCCAAGGAAACCGGCTTGGTGGAAAACAGAAAGGCGCATCCTGCCTTTTTCTTTTGACAGAAGAAAAAACAAGAAAAAAATAAAAAAAGACGCATCCGACGGCAATGGCACGAAGGGCCTTCGCGATTCTGCAAGCTTGGCCACTACTGCACTACGTAGGTGCAACGGCGCTGGTCACTCAACTAATCACCAGAGCAGGGAGGAAGTCGGGACTGTGCTCGCAGAGGGAACTAACCCCACTCACAGCCTCCCAAGGGCTGTGATACCGAATGCTACTGAAATGTCACCGACCAACACTCGATAAATTGAGCATTCCCGGCGACTCAGAACACCCCCTATGTCTCGAGAAAAAAAAAAAGGAAAAAAAAAAAGAACACCCCCTATGTGGCCTCGTTACCAGCCAGTTGTAGCAAAATATTGGTACGAGTGGCAGGAGAAGGGAAGCTGGACCCGCTTTCCAGAATATTGGCCAACCGCAGGGGTGGGTGGGGAAGCCCACAAGGGCCACAACATTTGGAAACACTGGGGCGGACTGCAACTCGGAGGTTGGGGGGCAAACAGGGTGCCAGCTCAGCGTGGAAAAATTCAAGAAATCATAATTCATTCTCGCTTTGGTCGATGAAGTTGGCCCTTATATTTCTTAGACGTACGGTACGGCCGTCATTTATCTGTTGATGTGGTTGGGGTAGGGTAAGATAGTGATCATGTTGTAGGTGTGTTTTGTTGCATTCTCTATACACAAATCCAAAACTGTGTGTGTGCGTGTTTGTTTGTTTGTTTGTTTGTGTGTGTGTGTGTGTGTGTGTGTGTGTGTGTGTGTGTGTGTGTGTGTGAGAGAGAGAGAGAGAGAGAGAACACACACACACACACACCCACACACAGGCACATACAAGACAAACAACATAGATTTTAGCAAAAACTTTTAAAACAAAAACAAAGACGATATTCGTTTTATAATGTCTCTCCCTGACAACATGCTAGGACGCTATGCACCATTTTTAGACCTCATTTCATGCATGCCAATTGTATTCACCCAAAATGTCGACCCTAATAGAGGCATTGTCAACGACACATTCAAAATTTTACATTCTTTACAATTTCATCCAAAAATACAGTTTCGACTTATTTTTGACACTGCAGTATTTACACATGTGTTTTTCCCAAATCAAGCTCCTCAACTTGCATTGGTTCGCATTCCAAATAGAAATGGATTTAAATTATTTCCATTTGCATCAAATGCTCGACTACCTAAAGATATTTACTTCGTTTCCTTCGAACGTTCAACGTTCAATCACTGTATCATTACCACGCATTTCATTTTCATCACAACGAACTTGCACATTATATCTAAAGCAATTTCCTTTCATTTCCGCCATCGCTTCCAAACTATACAAAGTTCAAGAATAAACCCTAACATTAATGATTCCTGAAGACTGGAAAGTTTTATCAATGTCACAAATGAGGAAAAAAAATGTCCCACAACAAGGATACATTGCAGTATCTCGTGTAATAAATCGCTACGCCTTCACAACCATCAAACCATTAACAACACCACTCACATAATTATTCAAACCTTATGAAAGTGTATTACGTGAAGATGACAGACTCACAAAGATTGCAAAACAACTGTTTCAAACTAACTTCATACAAAAAATGTTTCAAAAAACAGTTTCTACATCATACATAGATGAAAAAGATAAACAATCATACACAACAAATTTACAAGAATTATCGATACAACGTCAAACAAATTCAAAACAACTAATAATTTCTTCAATAATAAAAAATAACATAACTATGTCGAACTTCATTTTTTTGTCAGATGATCCAGATATAACAACACATTGAAACAATATCAACGAATGTTTTTACATGTCTTCCTCTCTAACAAACATTATTACAAACCATAACCAATCAACAACATTACATTCCATAATTTCACAATCAACTCTTCAAACCCCATCTTTGCAACATACCAAATACACAAATACAAATTCAGATAATGAAAACATTATTTCAATCCCAATGGATTCAGAATCATGTTTATACATTACTCTACATGAACATTATTGGCTCATAGATATACCCATAAACAGTTATGCAGAATTAATAATAGATAAATCAACAAATCTTCATAACAAACACGTTCGTATACAGCCAAGGAATAACAAAAAATGATAACCATTGCATTGATCAATAAATCCAAAGAAAAAAACAGAATTCGATCATTCATAACACTCACACATTTTTTCATTCCAATAAACATAAACAATACTCATAAGATACTTTGATATTTAAATTTTGAAACACAAACTATATACTACTTTGACAATTTTTCCACTACTAATACAACATTCTTCTCTAACATTAAACGATGGCTATCAAGTAGAACAAATTGTTTACACATATTACAACATGCAAAAACACATATCTTACAAGGACCACAACAAACTAATTCACACGATTGCAATATTTTTGTCCTCTTTATGCTTCGACATCTTATGCTACCTAACCCACTTTCACATGTCAATGATTTCTCTAAAAAAAACATACCTCTATATTGGGCATTCATTCATAACGAACTTTGTCTTTACACACTCAACAAAATTACACCACACCCACACTCTACAACCACCAATCCACCACAATTACTTTGTCAAATAAAATCAATACATTAATTACATATAAAACACCACTAATCATCAACACCTCTGTCAACACAAGTCACAACCACACTCAATCACTCGACTACAAACTATGTGGACAACAAGATTCAAGATTTACCAACTCAAAACCAAGAACAAATAAAGGTATGTCAAATATTCATATAACCTTCAAAAATACAAGTACTTCTTTGGTCTTCCTTCCTCCCCTTCCCCCCCCCCGCCCCCCTCCAATCTCTATATGTCATCTCTTTCACTATACCTTTTGATGAGTCAATGAAACTCCACCAAAATATACTTTTTTTTTTTTTTTAGGTCAGTGTCTGCCCTTGTGCTCCCCCCCCACTAACATG